GGACCCCCCCCAGAATTTTGGGGACCCCCCCCCAGAATTTCAGGACACCTCCAGAATTTTGGGACCTCCCCTCAAATCCATCCCTCTCCCACTCCCACTTGAGTTTTGACTTCCCCAATTTTTTGGGGGATGCTCCCAGAAATTCGGGGATTCTCCCAGCATTTTGGGGACACCCCCAAGATTTCGGAGACCCCCTAAAATTGGGGAAACCCCCCCCCCCAGGATTTTGGGGACCCCAGACTCACTTCATGCCCTGCTGGAAGACGGAGTTGCGCCGCGTCTTGCAGATGATGAGGTCGGCCCACTGCACGACCACGATGCTGACGAAGAACGCCGTGTGGCACGTGAACTCCACCACCTTGCGCTGCTCGTACGTCTGGGGGGGCAAACGGGAGACCCCTCCTCAAATTAACGAAATTAACCCATCCCGGACCGGCCCCGAAAAAACCCGGCCCGAAAATGTGAAAAACGGCCTCAAAAAATGACACAAAATATGGTCCCCAAAATGGCCAAAATGCCACCTTGCGCTGCTCGTACGTCTGGGGGAGGGCAAACGGGAGACCCCTCCTCAAATTAACGAAATTAATGCGAAAAACGGCCTCAAAAATGGTTAAAATGACAGGAGAATCGGTTAAAACTGCCCCCCAAAAAAGTATCAAAAAACCTCAAAAAATGATCCAAAAGTACACGAAAAATTATCTAAATGTCCCCAAAAAATGATCCAAAAAGCCCCCAAAACAGGATCGAAACATCTTCCAAAAAATGCACAAAATATCCTCAAAAAATGCTCAAAAAGGCTCCAAAAAATCCCTGTTTTTTGGGATGCCCATTTTCAGAGACCCCCATTTTTGGGGGGTCCCTGTTTGGGAGGAAAATCCCCATTTTTTGTTTTTAAATATCCCCAATTTTCTCTATTCCCTTTTTTAGGGGATCTCCCATTTTTTTAGGACCTCCATCTTCAAAGACCTCATTTTTGGAGACCCCCATTTTTCGGCACCCCCATTTTTTGGGGACCCCCATTTTTCGGCACCCCCATTTTTTTGGGGACCCCCATTTTGGGGCGGGCACGCACCCACTGCTGCCCGTAGGAGTCCTCCAGGTCGTTGATGGTGCGGTCGTCCCAGCGCAGCCGGATCCCCACCAGGCACGAGGGCAGGAACCCGTTCTCCGCCAGGATCACGAAGTAGGCGAAGAACCCGCCCAGCGCCTGGATCATCCCTGAGGGCAAAAACGAGGGGTCAGGGGGTCAACGGGAACCAATGGGGTCAACGGGAGCCAATGGGGGTCAACGGGAACCAATGGGGGTCAACGGGAGCCAACAGGAACCAATGGGGGTCAGCGGGAGCCAATGAAAATCAACTGGACCCAACGGGAGCCAATGGGGGTCAACGGGAGCAAATGAAACTCAACAGGAGCCAACGGGACCCAATGGGATCCAATGGGATCCAATGGGAGCCAATGAAACTCAACTGGACGCAATGGGAACCAATGGGATCCAACGGGAGCCAATGAAACTCAACTGGACGCAATGGGAGCCAATGAAATTCAACTGGACTCAACAGGAGCCAATAGGAGCCAATGAAACCCAACTGGACTCAACGGGACCCAACAGGAGCCAATGAAACTCAATGGGAACCAATGAAACTCTACTGGACCCAATGGGAGCCAATGAAAATCAACTGGATGTAACGGGAACCAATGGGAGTCAGCAGGAGCCAATGAAAATCAACTGGACCCAACGGGAACCAATGGGGGTCAACAAGACTCAAAGGAACCCAATGAAATTTAGCGAGACCCAATGGGAGCCAACGGGAGCCAATGAAATTCAACTGGAGCCAACAGGAGCCAATGAAACTCAACTGGAGCCAACGGGAGCCAATGGGAGTCAACTGAACCCAATGAAACTGAACAGGAGCCAATGGGAGTCATTAGGAGCCAACGGGACCCAATGAAACCCAATAACTGACCAGTGAGTGACCAGTGAGTGACCACTGACTGATCACAGCCGTAGGCCATGCTGATGAGCCGCTCGTTGACCATGGATCACAATGGATGACCATGGATGACAATGACCAACCATGAATGACCATAAATGACCCCGGGATGACCATGGATGACCATGAGTGACCAGTGAGTGACCCCAGAGTGACCACTGACCGATCCGGCCGTAGGCCATGCTGATGAGCCGCTCGTTGACCATGGATCACAATGGATGACCATGGATGACCATGGATGACAATGACCAACCATGAATGACCATAAATGACCCCGGGATGACCGTGGATGACCGTGACTGACCAGTGAGTGACCCCAGAGTGACCACTGACCGATCTGGCCGTAGGCCATGCTGATGAGCCGCTCGTTGACCAG